ACAGACAGACAGACAGACAGACAGACAGACAGACAGACAGACAGACAGACAGACAGACAGACAGACAGACAGACAGACAGACAGACAGACAGACAGAGTGCGATCGTTTTCATTTATGTAGGTACCGTCTTGTTTTTCTAGATGTTTTTTTTTAGTTACAATGGCACAATACACAGATAGTATTTATTCGTCGTGTTCAAAGAATAGAAAATAATTGTGTGGTATTGTGGTGCCATCAGGCGCTCGTCAAAATAATGTCTTTGACTTGAGTGTGTTTATGAGTATAAGAAGGGGTGGGGAATGGATCAACCCATACATTTCTGTGTGGAGTCTACTGAAAAACACTGATCAAAGACACACAAAATGTGAATGTTCAGTTTCTTAGGATTCTCAAGCTTTAGAAGTCACCAAATTTTGGAGACAGTTTTCTCGATAACTTATCCCCGGACACCAAACGTACCCTAACTAGATCAACCGCACATATCTGTAATTTTATTCAAAATAGGTGGGCATTCTCTTCATCAAAAGAAAGATAAACGAACAAGCGTTGGGATGATTTCAAAAACTCAATATGCCCAAAAATTGACGAGCGCCTGTTTCCATCGTGTTGTGATACAATCATTATGGCTTCCCCGTTCCCGTCTTGTTCCCTGTTTCCCCTCTATTTATGTGGAGCATCTCGTCTAGGATCAATTTGTATTTGGAGCTCATATTGTAATACACAAATATGTTTACAGCGGAATTCGTACCCTCCAAGGATTTACAAATGGACCATGATAGCAAAAACATGTTCTTATATTTACCGTATATGCTATAGTCCTCAGAGGCAATCATTATGATCTGGTTGAGAGCACTAGGTAAAAAACAACCCATGAATATGCTAGAGATCAGAGTAATCATGGACACCACTTTTTTGTCTCTATTCGATAAAGAGTCTTGCTTCGCAGAACTTGACGTGGACTGGCGCCATTTAGATTTCAGCTTAAGATTTCGAACAAGAATGATAGTGCAGACAATAACGACCAAGAAAGACACATATTGAGGTATAAGATTGACCATAACTCCCACGTTCTCAATGTAGACTCCGTTAGGTATGTAAATTAACCCTATCTTCGTCACATTTTTACTTGGAAAAAACTTTGGCCCAAGACGCATTGCATAACATGCTACTCCAACGCCAGAAATCATGAGGAAGTATATGAAAAGTACCACGAAAGATGTACGTCTCGGGGTTATGATCGTCTTCACTTTGAGAGGCATAGCGATACACAGACACCTCTCAAACGTGACGAAGGCTGTGATCCAACCAGTGATGCGTGTGAAACAAGCGTGAGGCCATCCTGCTGTCACGTATTCAATCTCTTCATTGTCAAAAGGCACATCAGCATCGAGAAGCCAGGGGTTAAAACAGATGCTCATCCACAGAAGTGATATTAGAGCTCCCATATCAGAAAGGGCCATGCCGAATAGAGTTACGTTAACGTTGTCCTTAAAGCCTTGCTTCTTGAAAACGATCATGTTGATTACGTTGAAGATGATGCCAAAGAAGCTGACCGTTCCCATGACAGCGACGTAAAAGACCAGGGTGAAGATGTTGTATGTGTGATCGTCCACAAGTTTAACGTGGCCTACATCTAAGACTGCCTTTTCACTTTCGTTTCCAGAACCCATTTCCTATATTTCACAGGACACACGTTCTCCTCGATTACTGCAGCAACTGTCTAACCACTTGAGCCTGTGAAAAAGAGGAATCGCATGGGATTAGAAAATAGTAAATTCATGGGAATAGAAAACAGTAAATGAAAAGACTAAATTCATGGGAATAGAAAATATTGGTTAGAATGTGATACCTAACCAAAACAACCATAGGAATTATACCATCCAATTTTGTGTTTCCTATGTCCATGTTATATACAGACCTTGTCTTGCAGGGGTAGCTTGGACAAGAAAGATGCAAGATTGAAAATTAAAATATTATTATTGATAATTTGATTTTTAAAAATAATCTTGCTTTGACTTGGTTCTTGATCAATGCTGACGAATTTGATGAAAACTTGTTGGACCACTTCCATTATTTTGTCTGTTACGTTGAAATTACGTGGGTTTGCAAAAAAACCGGTTAATATTGTCACTGACAAATATATTGTTTTTTGGAATCTGAATCAGAATCTAGATTTTTTGCATTTGTAGTATCACCAAAAGGCTACTTTTCAAGTCCTTTTTAAGAAGATAATTTTCTTTCGTCTGCTATCTAAAGACCATGTCCATTCCTTGACAAAAAATCTTGGTCAAATGAATAATTATCAATTAGATTATCATATTCCACGAACCCACGAGACTTAATATCGCTTTTGGAGCCTGAAGAGAAGATTGTCTGAAGAGATGACAGTCTGAAGAGATGATAGTCTGAAGAGATGATAGTCTGAAGAGATGATAGTCTGAAGAGATGATAGTCTGAAGAGATGATAGTCTGATGAGACGATAGTCTGAAGAGATGATAGTCTGGCGGACCAATGTCTGAACTATCTGTAAGAGATGAGGCATTATTTTAATGTCGTACATTTGGATTCAGTCTATAGTCAGATTAACTGTGGGAGAATAATATTATGTTTGTGTGGCTGGAGTCCTAGCTGTCGGCAAAGCTGTTTTTGAGTAAAATGGTGAAAAGGTCAAACATTTAGTTCCATTAGAAAACACATGCTTCACCATCTCTTAATAACGTTTGCAGGATTTCACAAGATTTTAAGTCTTAATATGTTTTTAATAATTGTGTCGCAGCGTGGTGGAATCAAGCTCTCGTCAAAATAATCAAAGTGAAGAGATCTTCATTTTTCCGCAGGTTTGTGAATTTTTATCCAAATTTTGTTTTTTGGCTCAACATCTTTCATGCCCTTTAAAAAACTCATTTCTGAGTGGATTTTTCTGAAAAACGTTGATTAAAGGCACAAAAAATTAAATTTTTAGCTACCACAGGCTCTTAAGCTAAGGAAATAACTAATCTTTGGCGGCCATTTTCTCACTAATTTTACCTTTGAAAACAGGTGACCCCACCTCCTTCAATTGCAAATATCTTGATTTATATTCAAGATAAATGTAAACATTTTTCATCCAAATAAAGACAGGTGAACAAGCTTTGAGATGATACCAATAACTCTACATGCCCAAAAATTGACGAGAGCCTGATTCCACCACGCTGCCTCACAATTATTTTTGCAACATGTTGCACTCCACTAAAGGTTAAGAAACTTACTAGAAAAAAGGTCAACACACTAAGGTTAAAGCCGTTTATTTCCAAACTTTGTTTTTACATCATGTGTTACAAAATGTGCCATACACACTAGGGGGATCCAACTGTTCCACTTTGTTTCTGAATATCTTGCACAAAAATTGTTCTGGAATGCTGTAATTTAGAACAGACATAACTCAGTCAAAAAGAATTTGTTTGACATAAAAATCCAAGAAGAAGAAATTCATTTTGAAAACGGAACCAACTTAAGAGAAAAGCACCCAAAAATGGAAAGTTCACCAATTTTTGAAAATCTTGTTAATTTTAAGGAAGTCGTGAAAAGATTTGTTGACTTTTTTCTTTGTTTTTCTATTTGACATTTAATTTTCCATCACTGTAACTTTTAGATTTCATTTACACAATTTAAAAAACTAACGATTTCATTCTGGAATTTCCAGAAGCAGTACTCTACATACCCTCCTTTGGACTCGACACATTTTTAACAAGTCGTTCGCAATGTACAATGGCGCCAAAAGCACAAGGATCTTCTAAACCATGAGTGTTTAAAGCCACATACACTGTACATATTCAGTATGGAGGGGCTTCTAGAGGCAATTAGGAGTGGGGTGTCCAATAGACAGCATTTTTCGAGTTACAATTATATCTCAAAGGGTGAAAATGGGCTTTGCACTAAACCAAATTAATGTCATCAATTAAATAATCCCTTTTTTCAAGACAATCGAGGAATCATGAGCACATAGCCAAGCTCTGATCCATGTCATCTCGGCCTAGCGAAGATGAAAATGGTACAGTCGTAATTTAAGATCTGCCCTGAGAATGCAGACGGCTGATGTATAGGAAAGTCTTAGCTGCAGATCTTCTACGGACAGACGTCTCATGGGACTAGGCTACTGAAATCTGCACCCTGATGACGTTTATAGGGCTGTGCATGGTGTATGTTTGACCTGAGGTGGTAATTTTTAAGGGACATTTTTAGTTCTGATTCGCCATAGATCCAAACTGACGGAACTTCTCTACTCAGGACGCCAAAGGTCTTGAGGGCACCTTAGCATTCTTTCCATGCTGTGCGCAGAACTTACGAAATATCAGGGATGGTGAGTTTGTGGAGAGGTAATGTTCAATACAAAAAGCTCTCTGCTCTTTACTAAACTTAACATGATCTCAGCAGGCAAATGGGATTTGGGAAAAATAATATCTGCAGACTTCTGATGACTTGTTAGACTGCTGTAGTTTGCAACATGGCGCGATTGTTGCAACTTTTAGTTGGAGTCGTAAGCGAACTGATGCGTCATGCTACACAAATGGGGACAAGGTTAAATATGGGTTGTTGTTTTTTTAATGCGTGGCTTCCAAATATTATGTTCAAATCTGAAAAACAAAACTTCAGTGTGGAGGAAAATATTTACCTAACAAGTTGTATCGTTGTTGTTGTTTTTTTATCACCCTGTACTTAAAATTTCTCAATATATTTAAATTTAAAAAAAATTAAGCATTAAATTTGCTACAAGAATGTGCCCCTTTTTCAATATCCCAAATTACCGACGATTGGGACCTTTCTCCAGACACACACACACACACACACACACACACACACACACACACACACACACACACACACACACACACACACACACGCACGCACACACACAGGCATACACACATAACCCTTGCTCAGACAACCGGATCTTTATTTATTGGTCAGCTGATTCCTGATCTATGGAGCCTTTTTCGCTTCCCTTGAATATTTAAGATCCCTCTCCCCTCTCTCCTCACCCCCCCCCCCCCCACCCACCTCTTTGCCGCTCACAAATGATTTAAAGTGCATAGTTACAGCTGTTTTTTCCTTCTTCCTTTTTATCGAAACATTCAGAAAAGGTGAGTTTGAGCATGAGGACATTAGTTTTTTTTTCCAATCAAATTTCTATGTCCTGCGGGGACTTTGTATCCTTCTCAGTTCAGACAGGTAGACATGAAGCAACCCTTCTCCTGGACTCTCATAACTTGTGTGGAGAGGGGTGTAAAACACCTACAACTTCAACTAAATTATTTCAACACTAGCTGGGTACAAGTTCGATGAAGGGACTCAAAGAGTCAATCGTCATGTTATTGTGGAACCAGTAGGCACTGCTTATGAACGGAAGCCTCACCTGTTTACAATGGCGTCTTAGAAGACGGACTTTCTTGGATTCGATCTAAACGAAACTAATGAAAAACTGACAATTAAACTACAGTGACTTCAGGTTCCTCAATAAAACTGCACACCCTTCAAATGATTCTCAACCAACATTATTTTTTAAATTTCAAATTCGAAAGTTAAGTGGTTCGGAAGTTTTAGGCTACCAAAGTGACGAACTTTCACAAATATACAATGTATAGCTTATCATTTTATTCTAGCAATCACACATCCCAACATTTCCTCCAACGAAAGCGGTGAACCGAAGTAAAATCAAGTTTCAAGAGATGTTCTCAAACTTTTACCGTTTTGGTTTGAAAAACAAAATGGTCAGTAAAACAGAAAACGGCGAGGGCTCTCAAAGACTCCTATTATGTCTGCTGCAAATCGTCGGAATCTGGTGGTCATTGTCTAGTGGATTGTCCAGTGGAGTTACGATTAATCACGATATTCTTTTTACTCCTATTAAAACAATTTAGGTTGTGGATTTTGACAAATTTTAAAGTTTTTTATTTGGCGATGTTGGAGTTTTTTTTCTTTTTTTTCCCTTATCTTTTTTTTTTTTTTTTTAAAATAGTTTTAGTTAATTAAAGTTTTGCAAAACAATTAGGTTATGTAAGTGCTGAAAATTTGAGGTGTTACAGAAGGGTAACATTCAAAGAAAAGGAGGCGGAGAGATGAGGGAAATAGATGTTTGATACGCTAGAAAAAGCGAAGCACACCAAGCACCCACCAACTGCCCACTACCGATGTTTCCAGTTTGCGAGTTTCCAAAACGCACAACGACGAGCAAGTTGAATAGAAACACTCTTTTTAATACTCCACATGTGGTTGTTTTGGGGATTCTGTTTGTTTTTGTTTTTGTTTTCTTTTGTTTTTGTTTTGTTTTTGTTTTTTTTAAATGGGGGTTTTGGGGGGGTAGAATTTAAAATACAGGTATTTTAAACCGTTTTTTCTGATCTAATTGAAGCAATATTGGATTTTGTCTTCCCCTGACACTAACACTGGTTGCTACTTTGCAAATAATTCTGCCCGTTGTTAGAAAACCTCAAATTAAAATTTACTTGTCTTTTTTAAACTACAACTACTTTCACCTTTACCGTGTGATGATTGAGAAAATGTAATTTGACGGCACAAGGCACCTCCATGTAATAGTTCAGCTGATTTGTCGGCATAACACTTCCTCCTTTGACACTCACTAACTATCTATCCAATCTAACGCTTTGAACCGATTCTACACTGCAAACGTCG